TTTACTGGTGGAAAGGTTGGAGTTTCGACCGTTCGATCGAGTTTCATCTCAACGGCCCAGAGAATTTCGCCCAAAAACGTTGGAATTTGGAGCGTCAGATCGATTTTCTCCTCAACGGCCAAGATCGGACACGAATTTCGCCTAAGGGAGATTTACGCAACCTACAGAATTCACGCTCGTCGATTCTACAGTCAATTTGACTAGCAGTAAGTCGACCAGCCCCTAGAATTCGATTATTTTCGTCGCGCATCTTCCTGTAAATCACCAAATGGAGGGAAAAGGAGATATTTCAGTTCAGAAAATCGCGGAGTTACGTGCTGAGCATAAGCAAATACGTGCGGCGCTCCCACGACTCAAAAAACTCCTTGCGAACCTGTCGGCAACCGCCATAGCAGCAACGACAACAGTAGTAGCAGCAGCAGCGGCTACACCGACAATTCTACATGCGACAACGGCAGCAGCTACAGTTAACCTCGAAGCAGTGAAGCTGAGGCTACCGGAGGCGTTCGATCCTACAGTAAAAAGGAACGACGTTCGTCGATTTGTAGCTGAACTCGAAATTTACTTCGAAGCCGTTAGATGCACGACCCCGACAAAAGACGCAATGCGCATACGGCTCGTAGCAACAGTGTTACGAGGCCCAGCTCTAGAGTGGATCAACAACAGAATAGTCCAAGGCGAGGGGACGTGGGCGCAGTTTCCGACAGCACTGATCGAACAGTTCGACACGTTGAACAGTAGCTACTACGGAACACGATGCAACAAGCCAACAAGTGGCATGGGGCGATTGGCACCACCCACGACTGCCGACCCAATGGAGAACGACGAGGGCGATGTGGAGCAGCGGCTAGCAAATAATGAGACGTGCAAATTTTGCAGCGCTACAGGACATCGTATCTTGGCGTGTTGGAAAATGAAGAGAAGGTGTGCGGAGCTGAAGGACAAGAACAGTGCGGCACCCCCGAAGCAGAAAAAGGACAACGTGGCAACTTCGGAGAGGGCAAAAAAAGGAGAATATGGTGGCGCAAATTTAAAACGTCACGACCAGCCGGCACCAGGGGAAATCGCCGAGACTAATGGAGGATCCGCGAAACAAGACCCTGCACCGACCGGGAAACTCCAGCCGTACACCCCGACAAGTAAGAATATTACTTCTCGTGGGTTTCAAGCCTTTATTAAGGGAGAGTCAGAAATTAAACCGGTACCGGGTATTATGGGGACCCTACTCCAGAGCGCTAATACGGGTCGAGCGTTCCGAGGAGTTAATACTCTCTCCCAGCAGCACTGTTTAAAGGCTCCCTGTTCCCCACAGATGAAGCCTACACAGCTGCAAAGGCTTAGTGGAAGGTTCCAGGCCCAAGACAAGCCGAATCATCCTCGGATAAATCCTTCTAACCTTTCTCAGTTGAAAACTGACACTGCAGCTGCAGATAGGGGCGTTGAGGTGGAAGCCGACGTTGCCGATCACGAACATCAAGGGATTAGATTTCATCTTTGGGCAAGATTTTCTGAAGCGGTTCAACCCCAATATCGACTGGGTCAACCGGAAAACGTGCATCTACAACAACGGGAAACGAGTGGAGCTGTGAAGCTTGACGGATACAGGGAGCGTTCCTGAAACGACACTGGCACGGTTCGAACGGACAGTGAACGAGAGTAACACGGGTTACTTAGCACTAGTTATAGCAGCAGCAGAGGAGGAGGTCTTGGAGCAGTACAAGGATATAATGCCCGACGACCTACCCACAGGCGTATCTCCAGCACGCACCCACTAGCACGAGATCGTGGAGAAACCAGGTGCGAAACCCGTCTCACGTGCACCATACCGACTGAGTCCGACTGAACTGACAGACATGAAAAAACAGATAGAGTATCTACTGGACAGACAACTGATCCGCCCATCCACCTCTCCCTACGGTGCACCAGTTCTCTTCACTCCAAAGCCAGACGGTAGTTTACGGATGTGCATCGACTACCGCGCACTGAACAAACAGACAGCACTGACTACAGCGCCAGTACTCATCTTGCCGGATCCAGACAAGGACTACGTGGTGGAAACAGAGCTAGTGACCAAGCAGTCAGAGCAGTACTGATGCAGGATCACGGACGCGGTTTGCAGCCCATCGCCTACCTCAGTAAGAAGCTACACGGAGCAGAACTAAACTACCCCATTCACGACAAGGAAGCCTTAGCGATAGTCATAGCCTTCAAGGCGTGGAGGTGTTACCTAGAGGGAGCCAAGACTACAGTCTATACTGACCACTGCAGTCTCAAATACCTGAAGTCACAGCCGACACTCTCACGACGACAGGTGCGGTGGGTGGATTTCCTGGAAACTCACTTCTACTACGACATCGTTTACAAGCCCGGGCTACACAACAAGGCAGACGCGTTGAGCCGCCCCAGACATGTAGCAGGCATCCAGCTCGACGGGATGAACCCTCTGCTCAAGGGTCTATTCCAACATGGGTACTCCGTGGACGCAGAGATTGCTACAGCACAGACCAAGAAGCTATTACAGTGGGAGAAAGACTTAGCTGTAAGGAAGGGTTCAGGAAAGATTTGGGTACCGAATTACGCCCCACTACGGCAGATCCTATTGGAGGAGTTTCACGACGTACCTTACGCGGGACATTTCGGGAGCAACAAGACGTTAGCAGGGATAGCGAAGTATTACTACTGGCCCGGGATGGCAGCAGACGTGCAGCAGTTCGTCACCTCATGCGACACGTGCCAGCGGATGAAGAGCAGCAAGCAGAAAAAGCAGGGTTACTTCAGCCTCTACCCGTACCGGAGCAGCCATGGCAGGTCGTTAGCCTCGACTTCATCACAGGACTTCCTTCGACCTCACGGGGACATGATTCCATCCTCGTGGTGATCGATAAGTTCTCCAAAATGGGTCACTTCATACCGACCAACGCCACAGCTACAGGTGAAGCAACTGCTCGACTCTTCTTCGACCGCATCATCACCATCCACGGCATCCCCGCTACACTCATCTCAGACAGAGACCCCAAATTCACGAGTAAGTTCTGGAAGGAGCTCATGGGACTGTTGGGGACAAAGCTTGCAATGTCTTCAGCATACCACCCCCAGACTGACGGACAGAAAGAGCGACTCAATCAAGTGGTTGAACAGTTACTGCGCACAGCTTGCAAGGACGACGTCAGCCACTAGGACACACAGTTACCGACCCTAGAGTTCGCTTACAACAACGCATCACATGCGGCCACAGGAAAAACTCCCTCACACCACTGCAGCCAACCACACCGGCATACGTCCAAGCCGCACATGACTTCGTCACCACCATGCAGCAGCTATGGGAGAAGACTCAGCGACGTCTCACCACGATGCAGAACTCCCAAAAGCAGTATGCCGATCGTCAGCGACGTGATCACTCAGTAGCAGTCGGAGATCAGGTGCTTCTTGACATGCACAACTTGAACCTGTCTCACCTCCCATCCAAACTCCGGCCTCGCTTCTGTGGTCCTTTTCTCGTTGAGGCACATGTGACACCAGTTACATTCCGCTTGCGCTTACCAGATACGTGGAAGCTTCACAATGCTTTCCATGTGCAGCTACTGAAACCCTACAAGGACCCCAACCAACAGTTCAAGGGACGGCAGCTACCGCCACCTCCACCTGTTCTTGTACAGGATGAACCCGAGTACTAGATCGAGCGCGTTCTCTCTCATCGGTGCCGCGGCGGCAAGACCTTCGAGTTCCTGATACGCTGGAAGGGATACGACCCCACTGAGGACAGTTGGGTTGCAGAAGCTGATATGGGCAACGCACGCCGTGCTCTCAATGACTATCTTGTCAAGCAGGGTGTATCTCACGCCACCCAGCTTTGAGGGGGGGACGTGTGAGAGTACGACGGCTTATGCCAGCTATGCTTGCTTGCCTCTACTTTATCATGCTATTTCTAGCATAGGATAATCATATGCATGCATGAATTGCTTGATTTCCTAGGCTAGGTGCTTTCCTATATTTTATTATAGCTATAGCACCGAGCTAGGTTGCGTGCACCGAATTCTGGCTTTTCGGTTGCCACCGAATTGCCTTCTATCGAATTCGGTAAGGATCTGTTCGGGACGCTTCGCGACCCACGGAACCTTCGCGTAACACCTGGTTACGGGGCCTTGTGTCGAGCCTATATATAGCCTCGTGTTGTACCCAGGTGATCATTCAATTCAATTTGAATCATCTTTTCTGAGATCAATCCCAGGTCCTCACACCTGGCCACGTTTACACGTCGGCCGGGGTCGAGCCTGTACACGCTGACCACTACGTCTCCTCCAGTCACTGCGTCTGGTCTGGTAGCTGCGTCGGGTCTGGTGTTTGCTGCAGCGTCCAGGTCCGGTCCTGAGTCTGCCCCCTGCTCGTGTCGTCTCCTGTCTCACGAGACTCTCCTCTGGCACCACCGCCTTGGTCACCCCTCCCTGCTTCGTCTCCGAAGCATGGCCTCCCGTGTCCTTGTCTCTGGTCTTCCCCGGTCCCTCCCTCCCCTTCCTCCGGGGCCTGGCCCTACCTGCGTCCCCTGTGTCGAGGGGCGGCAGCGGGCTGCCCCTCACTCCTCTCAGTTTCCTCCGACAGAGGCCCCGCTGCAGACGCTTCACATGGACGTGTGGGGCTCGGCCCGCGTCCGTGGACAGGGTCACGAGCGCTACTTCCTGCTGGTGGTTGACGACTACTCAGCAAGGGTGATGTCACTGGGGTGTTGATCGACTGGATCCGCGCAGCTCGTCTCCAGCTCAGTCTTCCCCTTGCGCAGCAAGGGTGATGTCACTGGGGTGTTGATCGACTGGATTCGCGCAGCTCGTCTCCAGCTTAGGCGGAGCTTCGGCTCGGACTTTCCTGTTCTGTGTCTCCACTCTGACAGAGGCGGAGAGTTCTCTTCTGGCCTTCTGCGAGCCTACTGTCGTGCACGAGGCATCCGCCAGACCTTCACACTTCCTGACTCTCCACAGCAAAATGGGATTGCTGAGCGCCGCATTGGCATGGTCATGGACGTTGCCCGTACGTCCATGATGCATGTGGCTGCCCCCCATTTTCTGTGGCCGTTTGCGGTCCGGTACGCGGCGCATCAGATCAACCTTCAGCCCAGGGTCTCCATGCCGGAGACCTCCCCAGCTTTGCTGTGGACGGGGAAGGTTGGCGATGCGTCTGCGTTCCGTGTCTGGGGATCTCGGGCGTTTGTCCGCGACTTGTCTGCGGACAAGCTGTCCCCTCGTGCTGCTCCCTGCGTCTTCCTGGGTTTCCCCCCTGACGCGCCAGGGTGGCAGTTCTACCACCCCACCTCTCGCCGTGTTCTGTCCTCCCAGGACGTCACGTTCGACGAGTCGGTCCCCTACTACCGTCTCTTCCCCTACCGCACTCCGTCCCTCCCCCCGCCACCGCTCTTCCTTGTGCCAGGTCCCCCCCCGGTAGACCCCCTCCCCCCTCAGGGTCATGCCCCTTCAGGTGTGTCCTAGGTAGACGCTGTTGAGCCTGTCGAGGTCGCTGGTGACTCTGGTGCTGCTGAGGGTGCTGAGCCTGGGGGTGCTGACTCTGGGGGTGCTGAGCGTGTGGGTGCTACGCTTGGGGGTGCTGAGCCTGGGGGTGCTGAGCCTGGGGGTGCTGAGCCTGGGAGTGCTGAGTCTGGGGGTGCTGAGCCTGGGGGTGCTGAGCCTGGGGGTGCTGAGCCTGGGGGTGCTGAGCCTGGGAGTGCTGAGCCTGGGGGTGCTGAGCCTGGGGGTGCTACGCCTGGGGGTACTACGCCTGGAGGTGCTGAGCCTGAGGGAGCTGGGCCTGCTCGTGTGGCGTCTGGCGGTGCTGTGCCTGGCGGTTTTCCGGGTGCTTCGTCTCGCCGGGAGCCACTCTCTCCACAGGAGCTGCGTGAGTGGTTTGCCCGGCGCTGGAGGCGAGCTGCTGGAGCTGGAGGTGCTGTGGGTACTGGAGGTTCTGCTGCTGCTGAGGGTGCTGGTGCCGCGGGTCCCGAAGGTTCTCGTACTGGGAGTACTGGAGCTGCTGGGCTTGCGGGTACTTCTGGAGTTGGAGCTGCTGCGGGTGTTGGCGCGGAGGCTACTGCTGTCGGTCTTGGAGGCGCTCCTGCTGGGGGTGCTACTGGTGCTGCTGGAGGTAGTGGAGCTGGAGGTGCTGCTGGTGCTGGTGCTGCCGCTGGGGGTACTGGTGCTGTCCCTGCTGTGTCTGGAGTTGCCGCGCGGCCTCGGCCGTACTTCGTTCCGCTCCTTCAGCAGGTTCTTGGTCTCCCGCCTTCTACTGGTCCTCCTCCTCCCTTAGAGTGTCCACATCCTGTCCCGTCACAGTTACAGTTACAGCCGGCCTCCCCACTGCCTGCTCCGTCTCCCTACACTGGTCCTACTGGAGGTCTTGCTGAGCGTCGTGAGCCTGCGTCTCGCCCTGCGTCGCCTGTCCGTGCTGCTCGCACTAGTGGTCGCGGTTCGTGTCAGCGTCCTCCTCCTGTCCCTGGCACGCACAGGATGTCTCTGCGTCCGTCCACTGCTCCTCTGTGTGCCCCTTTACCTTCTCCTCCTGAGTCTTCTCTTCCTGCTCTTGCCGACCCGGAGTCGGACTCTCTTCGTGCTGCAAGTCCTACTGTCACGCGTCTCCTTGCTACTGTTGTCACTGACCCTTCCTTTGAGTCCACTGCTGCGTCTGCCCTAGTTACTGAGCTCGTCGACTTTGCTGCTCGCTGTCGCCTAGACTACGCCGCCAGTCTTGTTGCTGAGTCTGAGTCTGTCTGTCCTCCGTCCGTCGGGGGTGAGTGTGCCCTTGGCACGGACGTCCTTGAGGACAGGCAGGAGGAGTTCCAGTGTCTGGCTGCTGCTTCACCTCATCTCGTGTCCGTACTGCTTACCCCTGAGGGAGACCTGGATGCACTTGACATCCCGACTCCGCGCTCTTACGCGGAGGCGATAGAGGGTCCCTACTCCTCTCAGTGGCAGGCAGCTATGGACGCAGAGATGGCTTCCTAGAAGTCCACAGGCACCTACGTTGACGAAGTTCCCCCGCCTGGGGCGAACATCGTCAGTGGCATGTGGATTTTCAAGATGAAGCGGCCGCCGGGTTCTCCGCCTGTCTTCAAGGCACGTTACGTGGCTCGTGGCTTCAGTCAGCGGCAGGGAGTTGACTACTTTCAGACCTTCTCTCCCACCCCGAAGATGACCACTCTTCGGGTACTACTGCACGTTGCTGCTCACCGTGACTACGAGCTGCACTCTCTCGACTTTAGCATAGCTTTTTTGCAGGGCAGCCTGCATGAGGAGATCTGGCTGCGCCGCCCACCTGGCTTCACTGGGTCGTTCCCTCCTGGTACCCAGTGGAGCCTCCGGCGTCCAGTTTACGGTCTCCGCCAGGCGCCACCTGAGTGGCACGACACAATGAGGACTACGCTTGCGGCTCTTGGGTTTGCTCCTTCAACTGCCGACCCGTCGCTGTTTCTACGCACCGACACCTCTCTGCCGCCGTTCTACATCCTCGTGTACGTCGACGACTTGGTCTTTGCCACAGCTGACACTGCTGGACTCGCCTACGTGAAGTCCGAGCTGCAGAAGAGACACACGTGCATAGACCTGGGTGAACTGCGCAGCTACCTTGGCTTGCAGATCACCCGGGACAGAGCACGCCGCACCATTACCCTGACTCAGTCACACATGGTGCAGCAGGTCCTTCAGCGCTTCGGCTTCACGTACTCCTCGCCTCAGGCCACTCCTCTGCCTACTCGCCACTCGCTCTCAGCTCTGCCTTCGGATGAGTTCGTAGAGTCGAGTGGCCCGTATCCAGAGCTTGTTGGCTGCCTCATGTACCTGATGACCTGCACACGACCTGACCTTGCATACCCTCTTAGCATTCTCGCACGCTATGTTGCTCCTGTGAGACACCGACCAGAGCACATGGCTGCAGCGAAGAGGGTGTTGCGCTACTTGTGCAGTACGTCGGGCATGGGGCTAGTGCTTGGAGGGCGCAGTCTAGTGGTTCTCACTGGGCACGCAGACGCTTCTTGGGCTGACGACCAGGCTACGCAGCGGTCGTCACAGGGTTACACCTTCAGCCTTGGTTCCGGCTCTGTCTCGTGGCGGGCTACTCGCTCGTCTTCTGTTCTCGGCTCCAGTTATGAGGCTGAGATCTACGCTGGGGCCATGGCTGCACAGGAGCTTCGCTGGCTCACCTACCTGCTTACTGACCTCGGAGAGCCGCCTCGTTCTCCTCCAGTGCTGTACGTAGACAACAAGGCCATGCTGGCCTTATGTCGAGAGCAGCGACTGGAGCACAGAACAAAGCACATTGCTCTCCGCTACTTCCTTGCTCGTGAGCTACAGCAGCGTGGACAGTTGCGGCTTGCGTACGTGGCCTTTGAGGCCAACACTTCTGATGTTTTCACCAAGGCACTTCCGCCTTGTGATCATCAGCGCTTCTGCACTCAGTTGGGTCTTGTCCTTGTCTTGCCTCACTTGCTCACCTCTTGACCTTGCTTGTACTGTTCCATATATATGTACCTGCTCTTGCTTGTCTAGCCCTATATATATATATATACTCCTGCATGTGAACCGGCCTTGTGGCCTTGTACTTGTGCTCGGAATGTGTGGTGACTTTGTGATCGACCCTGAGCTTTGCTTTGTTTTGCTTTGCTTGACTGGTCTTGTGACCCCCTGTTCTCCCCCACTTTGCCTATGGGGGTGTGTCAGAACATTATAGCTTATGCTTTTGTGTAGGCTGTAGTGGGGTATCCCATAGGGGGTACAACCCAATTAGGGTTAGTACTTGTACCCACTTCATTCATAGTTCATTCATTCTCGTTCACTCTTAGTTTCTCACAGTATTCACACACCATCCCTGAAGCAGAAAGAACAAGGGCGTTAGCAACAATTCAGACAACATCGGTAGTAGCAGAGACAACATCGGCAGCAGCAGAGACAACATCGGCAGTAGCAGAACCATCAACGGCAGCAGGAGGAACGTCAACACCAATCGCTGGTCCTTCAACAACACCGCTCCTCATCGACGACACACCACCAACACCAGCGCAACAACTACATCCAGCACCACGAGAAGTTCATCGTAGCGCCAACTTCTACTCCAAGTCCGATATGTACGGACGATCACTCGGACATCGCGCCGACGAAAGTACCTGGCAAGCAAGGATGTGACACCCAAGCAACACAGTATTAAACAATACGATACGAGCAGGAGTACTCGACAAGGACTCACTTCTACTGATCGACGGACAAGAACTTCAACAAGTACGCAGAACGTGCTTCACCTGCCCCGAAGGTGATTTACCACATCGACCGTTTACGTCTCATCACAACCCGAGCGCACCCGCGTACGCACCACTCGAGAAGGTATATAGCGACATCCTGTTCAATCGGGAACCAGGACAAGTAACATACAACTACACGATCACCTTCATCGACGCCGCCACCCGTTACGTCTGGCACCTAAACCTCCCTAGCCGCGACATGGCATTCGCAGCCTTCGTTGCGTGGCTACTAGTAGCAGAGAGAGAATCGGGCGTACAGCTGAAAAGCTTCCAATCAGACGGAGGAGGAGAATACACCTCTCAGCGATTCAAGCAGTACCTGGCGGAAAGGGGAATCAAGCAGCTCATCTCCCTTCCCTACGCCCATCAGCAGCAAGGTGTAGCCGAAAGAATGAACAGGACCTTACAGACCAGCATGCGCAAACTGTTACGTGGCATGCGGCTACCCAACCACCAGTGGCCTGCAGCAATAGACCACGCTGTCATGCTGCACAACTTGCTGTCGTCATCATCGCTTCCGAACAATGCATCACCGCATCTTCTATGGACAGGGAAACAGGGCAGCACAAAAATGTTACGAGTTTTCGGATGCATGGTACAGTACCGACCCCCAGCAGCACGAGCGGGACGATTTTCTCAACAAGCACAGTGGGGACTACACCTGGGAATTGAAAAGAACTACAACGCGTGGAAAATCTTCGACGTCCACTCCAAGGAAACAGTAGCAGCACGTGATGTAATTTTCTACGAACGACTCACGCTCCAGACATACCTTGCCAACCTGCAAGAAGACGAAGATCCCACAGGTGGTTTTTGTGGTGACCGAGCCTTCGCCTCAGCAGCGGACGAAGCTGACTGGGACGAGCAGAATGTGGACAACGCATCAGAAGAAGCCGGACCTCTCCCGTTCTGCTCCGTCGACGTTCCCATGGACGAAGACAACCCTCGCGAAAGTGCCAACGCCGAAACCTTCTACCATTTCGCCGACAACGGTTACGTAACACCTGCGACAGTCAACACCAACGAAGTAGAACGAGTAGGACCAAACTTCATACCTGATCCAGAAGCGGGAGATGAAGCAGCTTATCCTGAGGACGTAAATCTTCCCCGCTACTCACAGAGTGGACTGCAGATTCTCGGACTCGTCACCGCAGTCCACGGCACCGCCACTCCTAAAGAGCCTGCGACAGTTCAACAGGCTCTGTGGGGGTAACATAAGGAAAAATGGCGCGAAGCCATGGACAAGGAGCTGAAGGCACTGGAGTAACGCAACACGTGGAAAGTGGTTCCTATCGGCGTGGCACGGAACAAGACAGTGCTCACCGGGAAGTGGGTCTTCCGTGTGAAGACAAAGGCCGACGGCACCATTGACAAATTCAAAGCTCGCTGGGTCGTACGCGGCTTCAACCAAGAGCACGGACGCGATTTCACCGAAACATTCGCTCCGGTCAGCCGACACACCTCGCTACGCATCCTTCTCGCGATCGCCGCCATGAAGAAGAAGAAGTTGCGGCAAATCGACGTCGCTAATGCATTCCTCTACGCACCTGTTGACGGAGAGATCTTCGTCAAGCTACCACACGGCTCCAGCACGGACTCGAACCACGTCTGTCAACTACTCAAGTCGCTCTACGGCATCAAGCAAGCTCCACGACTATGGCAACAATACCTACACGCTCGCCTCATTCGCATCGGCTTCAAGCAATTGCCGCACGACCAGGGCATGTACCAGCTCACGAAGGGTACCGACTACATCCTGCTAATCGTCTATGTAGACGATCTGCTCTACATCGGCTCAACTGACGGCATTACAACCTGGTTCGAAGGGGAGCTACAACAAGACCTCACACTCACGGTCTCATCTACCGTCACACAGTACCTCGCCCTCAACATCCGAGAAGAAGAAGACGCTATCTACCTCAGCGCCGCGAAATACGCCGACACCATCGCCAAGCGTTTCGCACTCACACAAACTGTCATCTCCACACCGTACCCCTACACGACAGCAACCAACAAGGAAGGCTCCACTCTACTCAAGCCCGCCGGCATACGCGACTACCAGAGAAAGCTGGGCTGCCTTCTCTTCGCAGCTGTCACCTGCCGCCCATATCTATCCT